AGTTTTACAGGTGTTTTAGTGTATTTTGAAGGACTTACACAAAGTATCCATACCCTTGTCATACACGTCCAATACATCTAGGTAAACGAAGAGTCCATATATCATAAGCACCTCACCCTAAAAAGGAAGTGATGAAAAACTGTAACAAAAGAAAAATTTCCAATTCATAACATCACAAAAGCATCTCTCTGGAGAGCTATAGAATTTAGTATTGAAGGTCACGAAGGTAAACAGTCAGTAATCAGTCTAACAAACTCATGAGATTAACAGTGATGATAAAGACAGACCTCAACTGATCCAACATATTGAGAGATTCCATTAGCAATTGCAGGATTTATAGTGTATTTTGCGACGTATCGTTTGATCCGGAAATTGTCACTGTCTGGCCCATCAATGTCCAGTGGTCCTCTAAATGACTTCATCTTATGGGCAGTCTGCCATGTTCTACTAATCACCTGGTAAGAGAAGTATCTGACCAATATATATATCATACAGCCAAGTTTTGTAGAAAGTGTAAAATATATATTCATCTTAATCACATTCAGTGCTAACTCACAGCAGGTAGCTGATTACAGGCTTAACAGAAGGACCTGAGCCTACTCAGTTAATTGCAATATTCATATTGGCTAAACAACAGAAATTTCCCTACTGCCAAGTTCAACCCCCTGTCCAATTTTTACACCCCACAGCAGAAAACACATATCCCTTGATAACGACAGAGTTAAACTTTATCATATACTTCAGAATCTCTCCCTTGAACTTTTAAGAGGGTGACACTCAAGTTGTTATTAGAGGATGACACACAAGTTACATAGGAGAAAGCAGTTTGAGTCTCTGCAAGTGTTATGAGGTGGCAAACTAAAGAAAATAGTTTAGGAGAGCTGGAAGGAGACATCAATATGGTGCTTCCTCTCTTTCAGACCAAACTAACTTTGCTGCTAGTAAGTTCCTAGCACAAGGACAATTAATTGCAGTTTTCTGGCAAATTCTGGCAGCAACAGGGCGTTCAGTCTAGGATATAACCTACTCGGTTACCTTCTTTTTCAATATTCCACCTTCAAGAAATAACAAATGCCAGAAAAGAAATAAATAATACTATATAATTGGATGGATCCCTCTGGTTCTCTATTATTTTTGTTCAGCTTAATTAGGTTCCAGCACAAGGGATTGTAAGGGAGATTGATCTGATAAAAAGTTTTCTTAATATGCACTTTCGCCTTAATCGTGACATGAGCCTATTATCAACTAACAACAAAGAAAGAATAGATTTTGCTTTCCTGGAAAATCCTAACCGTAATAGCAGGAGACATATTATAACATAAACCCAATAGAAAGAAGTGTGTGATCATCTCATCTAAAAGCTTAAGCTGTTAGAGAAAGCACAATTTTATTTACTTAGATATGTCTATAACATGCCCCCTTGCGTTTTGATTCTTTTGGATGATCAAAGCACATAGAAATTCTTTTTGATAGTGGTGTCAAGGAGACTCGAACCTAGGACCTCTACCTGCTCTAATACCATAATAAAAAGGGGGATCTTAGGCCTAACTCAATCCCAAAAATTAGCTCAAGAGCTGAGGATTTTTCAAAATCATATAGCAGACAACAAGCTATTTCCTCCACCAATATGGTAAACTTCACCCCTCTCACGCTCAGGGACCAGACATCTGGAACGTGGACAATATAAGATGGGGGTCCAACATTGGATAAAATTGGTTCTAGCTCTGACACAATGTAAAATAAAAAGAAGCTTATTGACTTGATACACAATGTACAAGAGGTTCTCCATATATTCTGTGAGGCTGAGAAATCACAAGTAATGTGCCTGAACCTCACACTTATAATAATTGAAGCCATATCAGATTTACACGTGAACATGTCAAAAAGCACAATTCATCGAAGAGCTATCTGATATAATGTGTTGGAGTGTGGGATCCTTCCCCACTACATACCTGGGTCTCCCATTGGTAGCTTCATACAAATCACAAGAAATCTGGAGTGGGGTTATTGAGAAGTTTGGGAAAAGATTGGCCTCCTGGAAAATGCAGTACCTCTCTAGTAGATTGACACTTATAATTAGTGTGCTGGACAGTATCCCTACATGCTTCATATCATTATTCCCAGGGCAGCCCGGTGTACAAAGCATCCCGCATTCATGCAGGATCCGAGGAAGGACCGCACCCCTAAGAGTGTGATGTAGATAGTCTACCCTAATGCAAGCATTAGTGGTTGCTTCCACGACTTGAACCCGTGACTTATAAGTCACATGGAGACAACTTTACCATTGCTCCAAGGCTCCATCCCACACTGCATAGCTGGGTCTCCCATTGGTAGCTTCATACAAATCACAAGAAATCTGGAGTGGGGTTATTGAGAAGTTTGGGAAAAGATTGGCCTCCTGGAAAATGCAGTACCCCTCTAGTAGATTGACACTTATAATTAGTGTGCTGGACAGTACCCCTACATGCTTCATATCATTATTCCCAGGGCAGCCCGGTGTACAAAGCATCCCGCATTCATGCAGGATCTGAGGAAAGACCGCATCCCTAAGGATGTGATGTAGATAGCCTACTCTAATGCAAGCATTAGTGGTTTCTTCCACGACTTGAACCCGTGACTTATAAGTCACATGGAGACAACTTTACCATTGCTCCAAGGCTCCCCTTCTCATGCCATGTCATTATTCCCAATTCCGGTTAAAGTTACAGAAGAGACTAGCTCAAATTGGAAGAGCCTTCTTATGTTAGGCAAGAGTCAGAGCCACAAATTTCACTTGGTTAAATGGCCAAAGCTCATTTCACCAAAGGAGCATGGAGAATTGGGTGCTAAAGATTCGGCATTACATAATAAGAGTATGCTAATGAAATGGCACGGGAGGTATAATATGGAGAATCCTGGATTATGGAAATCAGTAATCAATGCAAAATATGGTGTGAGAAACAACACAAAACATAGCAGATCACCTATGGTACAGGCCTCTGGAAGCACATATCCGATTTATGGGATGAGTTTCAACTTAACTCAAAGCTCAAGTTAAGGAGTGCAACACATATCAAGTTTTGGAAAGACAAGTGACTGGGAACAATGGCATTAAAAGATGAATTCCCAAATTTGTACCAATTGGCAAGTAATCAAGAATCCACTGGAGAACAATATTGGTAGAATAGCTCTTGGGACCCTCAATTCAGGAGCCATTTTCAAGATTGGGAAATAAATGACCTGATGGAATTGCTTGCCAAGCTAGCAGGGACTGCTATCAACCCTCGGTTGAAGGACAGACTGGAATGGGAGGATTCTAAGGAGGGGAAATTTACAGTTTAAGAAAGCATATGACACCTCTGCTCCAACAATGAGCTGATAAACAATTGGCCATGGAAATTAATTTGGAAAACAAAACTGCCTACTAAAGTGATCTGGTTTAGCTGGATTACCTTATAAGAAACATGCCTCACACAAGATAACCTCAGCCCAATGAGTATACCAACAGTGAATAGGTGCTACATGTGCAATACGGATAAAGAGATAGACATCTCTTTGTGCATCGTCCTGTAGCATATGATATTTGGAACATGTTCTTCTCTCTTTTTAGACTAGCCTGCTTCAAGCCTAACAGCATCTAGGAAGCATATGAAAGCTGGTGCTCATGGTAAGTTGGTAAATCCATCAAAATAATATGGTAACTGGTATCTGCTGCTATTTTTTGGTGCATCTGGAATGAAAGGAACTATAGATGTTTTGATGGGATCTCAGCTCCTACTCATGTACTCAAAGCAAAATGCTTACTGAATTTGTTTAGTTGGCTCACAACTTTTGGATTGTGTCCGCTCCCTAGTGATAGAATAACTTTTTGTGTATATTAGCAGACACTCTCTCTCTTTCTTGTAATCTTTTGCTTGCATCCTCTGGATGCTTTTAATGAATTCCTCTTCAACAAAAATAAAGAGTCTTACACTAAATAAAATTTGGTAGGTAATCAATCCTTATGCTAATAAGATAAGTAAATATTCTACAATTAAGTACAAAATATCCTAAGGTACCCTATAGAAAATTCTGTATGATTTTCCTTATTCAGGTGCGATGAATCTAGATACATATTCACTTAATATTCTAGCAGCATATATAAAACATTGGGTTGTGGTAGGTAGGTGTTAAGAACGTTGATGTACATGCTGCTTACTGCATTATGCTGATGTGATTATACAAACACCAAACATTCTGTTTACCAGCTCTTAACAGAAAATATTGTGAGAAAACTAATAATTGGTTGAGTTTGCCTGCAATGTGATGTTTCTCAATCCAAAAATTAATTGGAAATTAGACTACTGAAAACCTCTCCAATTCGACCCATGGCTTGTGAATCAGAAGATATAATGCTAATTGCTCCCATATCATGCAAAATGTCTTCTGCAGCAATTGTTTCAGCTCGAATCCGCGATTCAGCAAAAGCTACATCCTCTCGGATGTCCTTGTTCAGATGATGGCATACCATCTGCATGTAGAGCTATCAGGTCAATATATTGTTCAGGAGCATAGAAACTTCACCTTATTATAAGCTTCTGTTACCAGCATGTCAAGGTGCTCGTCCACAGTATTCAAAGTGAATGGACGTGTGGGATTGGTTGATGAGGGAATGACATTCTTTACACCACAAACTTTGATGATATCCGGAGCATGTCCACCACCAGCACCTTCACTGCAGAGTACATGTTACAACATGGGATAGAAGAGTCGTGTTCGTTAATCTAATAGGCAAGCAGCAGTGTATTTTATCCCTTTTTTCTCTATTCATCATTCTTGGCTCTCTTTCTTCTTTTTGCCATTTTCCTTCAGAGTTGGAGGGAGCAGGTACATTAAGTGTTTACCTGTGGTATGTATGTATGGTGCGACCTTTAAAAGCAGCAATTGTATGCTCAACAAATCCAGATTCGTTCAAGGTGTCAGTATGGATGTTGACCTGCATTTCAGAAATCATAATCACTTTTTAACTTGTAAAACTTGGTTAAATCAGCAAACACAGAAAGGAACGAGCACCTGAATGTCATATTGATCTGCAACAGCAAGGCACATATCTATAGCAGCAGGAGTAGTTCCCCAGTCCTCATGAAGCTTCAGGCCCATTGCTCCAGCTTTGATTATTTCATGTAAGCCCTCAGCCTTGGAACTGTTACCCTGCAAAACAATTGGACAAAGAAATAAATGCACTGGAAACAGGCATACCACATTGTTGGAACATCTAATGGACTTCAAGTTGGACAAACCACCAATGCATTACACTAAAGAAATCAGCATAAAATCATCCGTGTATGCCCAACACAGAGAACACAGAAACAAAGATCTTTTGTTCCATTTGTTGGTCACAATAGTAGGAAAGAGGGTGAAGAGATCTGGTTCTGACTCTGTGAAGTGCAGTTATGCCACTTGAGCTTACAAGCAAGTGAAAGAATGTTCGCAAAATCTGAAGCTACACATAGTTATTCTTTTACAGTAAATCCCAGAAAATAAGCATACTTTTCTTTCATCAGTAAAACAAGCGAGCAAATAAGCATACTTTTCTTTCATCAGTAAAACAAGCGAGCAAATAAGCATACTTTTCCAGTGAAGCCAAAATTTAGGGGAAGTTCGTCTGTTGACTGCAACATCAATTCCATATGCACAGGCCCCGGTGTACAAGTGGTTGCACGTGTCCCATGAGCAGGTCCTGTACCACCTCCCACCATTGTAGTGATTCCTACAAAACATAAAGAAGGAAACAAGACAATAAATTAAACACAACCGCTAGCAATTTATCACTTCACTCCTCTTTCCTAGAACACAATAGATTAAGTTTGCTTTATAGAAAATTAAGCCACTTATAGAACAATACAAGGCAAGCTTAAGTCTGAGCTATTGGATAAACAGCTTAGATAGGAGCTCTTCTGCTTCAGCTTTCAAATCTGATTACCCATATGATAACGTGATCCTTATTGCATCCAAATGCATGTGGTTCCGGCAATATGTAGTCAGTTAAGCAAATCAGTTTATGGATTGACTACCAAAACCGCGGATAAGTAACCCTTCTCATAATTTGCTTAGACCCAAATGTCGAGCATCAAACAATCAACAGATACTTAGTATGACTATCACCAGATGAATAGTAACTTTCAGCTGCCAAAATCTTTGAAGTCTCTTCTAAAGGTGAGTTAAGACCATATCACACCAAAAAAAAGGAAGAAAAAAAAACAGTTCTCTCCAACATTCAATCAAATTGGACGATTATCTCCAAAAGAAAACCAAAAACCAGATAAAATCTGCTCAATTTGACAGTGATCATAAATACCAAAGACAGGAGGTTACAACATAAATCTGGAACACTACAAGAGCACGGGGGATCATATTGTTTACATATTTAGCTACACACAGTTGTTACATAAACATGCTACAAAAACGTAAAAACAAAAAGCATGTATTAGCAATTTTCTCAAAGGAAAAAAGGGCAGCCCGGTGCACTATGTTCCCGCTATGTGCGGGGTCTGGGGAAGGGCTGGACCACACTATTGTACGCAGCCTTACCCTGCATTTTTGCAAGAGGCTGTTTCCACGGCTCGAACCCGTGACCCCCTGGTCACATGGCAACAACTTTACCAGTTGCGCCAAGGCTCCCCTTCCAATTTTCTCAAAGGGAATTCTAAAAATATACTTCCTAAAAGTTACAAATTTTACCACTTGATATTGCCTCATATGCCAGTTGAGGGCATATAAAGTGCACATGACAATCTATAGCTCCTGCTGTGATAATCATTCCTTCGCCTGCAATTACCTCAGTGTTAACCTGAAAGATCAGGAAGTATTAGCTTCACATTCTAGTGACTTCTGCCTACTTAACATCAGAATGTTCCCAGACTTACCCCAATTATCGTATCGCCATCCATGACATCTGGGTTACCTGCCTTACAAAGGGAAAAGATACGACCATCTTTAATTCCAATATCGCACTTGAAAATCCCTGTGTAGTCAATCACTACAGCATTTGTTATAACAGTATCCAAACAATCTGCTGAAGGATATCCAGACGCTTGACCCATTCCATCTCTTAGAACCTTTCCACCCCCAAACACGCACTCATCACCATAGACACTAAAGTCTTTCTCAATCTCAGCAAAAAGGTCAGTATCACCCAGACGTATTCTGTCTCCGGTGGTGGGGCCATACATGTTGGCATATGCCTCATGAGACATTGAAAAAGAAAAGCAAGATTCTTCTCCGACAACACCTTCCCTGCACAATACTTTTCAAGCTAAGACATTCCTTTTCTCGCAGCTAAATTAGTTAAGCAACTCAATAAATAACTCAAATTCTTCAGGAAAGTTATGAGAGAAAAAAGGTAATGTAAGAATACTACCAGACCTTGCATTTGGTTCTTCCAAATGGCCAAATCCTCCTTGAGTCAGAGCTCCTATTACTGTCATAACCGTTGCATCATCAACTGGACCATCAGCAATTGCATTACCTCCTCTGATCACTTGCTTGCCACTAATCCTAACAAGAACAACACTTTTTGTTTCTCCTGGCTAGAAAAGTAATTGACATTTGTCAACTCCAAGCACGAGACAGCGGAAATTGAAGAGAAGATAAATCTCAAATTTGATTAACATGTTTGAGCACCACTACTTCAAAAATTAAAGGACAAGACCAGAGAGGAACAAATATAAAAACATCTAAGCATGGAAAGATTACTGCTAACTCTTGCAGACTATTTCAGCTCTAACCTATACTGGAAATGGAAGCACGTCCGGAACGGCAAGAATCTTCTCCAATTACTCTTCAGATGATACTATTAATTGTCTGTCAATTAAATATTTGACTAGTTTTCAGTTGAATATTGAGGCCTTTTTAATCTACTTTATCCTGGCATATCAGGTTAATTCATCATGTTCTTTATCAAGGAGCTTTTAGGTCCAAATGACATTTAATGAAGCCATAACATATATTCCCTCCATTCCATTTCATGTGGCACTATTTCCTTATTAGTCCGTTCAAAAAAGAATGCCACCATCCTATTTTTGGAAACAATTTAACTTTAAAATTTCCCATTTTACCCTTAATGGTATACTTTTATAACCACATAAATGTCATGGCAGGTTTAAGACCACAAGTTCCAAAAATCTTTCTTTCTTTCTTAAACTCCATGCCGAAACACCGCCACATAAATTGGAACAGAGGAGTACTAGATTTATAGGCATATCTCTGGTATGTGCTCTAAGAAAGGTAGGTATCCTATTCTTACAAGCATCTTTTTCTCCGCAAATTTGCTACAAGTGGAGCCAAGATTAGCTCATTTATTCATTAATTAGATGCTTAATCACAAACATAACAATTGCGCCAACTCCTGTATGTGTTCTTGAGCAAAAGCAATATGTCCACAATGTCTTCTCAAAAATCAATGCCCTAGCCAGTTCCGGAAAACCCCAATTCACAACCAAGCTCAAGTAGAATGGTTTACTTAACTCCACAACTTCCAGATAAATTTCTAACAACCATATTACAAAAAGTGAATATTACAGGCAGAAGAGATATCCGGGAAGAAAGAAACATGCTAGTTGCTTTTCCTATCCTTGCAAAAACCAAGACACAGATTTGAAGTAAAGTGTTGCTTCAAAGCTAAAAGTGTCAGAAGTCTCACTTCAAACCTTGTAGCTGTGCCGGCAGGTATATTCAACCGCATGCAATGCGCTCTCCTTCGATCACAAATCAAGGATGGATTGACCTCGATGAAGTGATAGTGGCTGCCAACCTGGAAATGTTAGCAATTAGATCCACGAGAGTCAATCCCATTTATATCTGGATACTGAACGTACTACAGCTCTAAGAGGGGAGCATCATTATAGACTTGTAACAAGAAAGGCAAAGGATCCAGGAGTTACCAGCCTACAGTCACCTAATAAACAGAAAACTAAACTGAATTAGTCAAACAATATGGAACTTGTTTCAGCAACATATGTAGCATAACTACACTAACTATTTTCCCTTCCATATTTAAGTAAGTCATGTAGGATACCTTCAGTTCAACTCAGAAACTCAGGATAACTCAATTCTTTCTCTCACATTAGTCTCTTTGATCTCTTTTCCATAATATTTTTTCTTTTCATTATTCATATTGAGGGATTGGCAGTGGGCGAACAGGGCTGAGTAGTGCAATGCAGCAATGCATGAAGGAGGGCATAAAGAAGCACCTGAATTGGTCTGTCACCTGTGTTAGTGACTTTGAGAATTACCGCCTTCCTGTGAGGATTAAGGACAATCAGCCCACCTCCAAAGCACAACTGACCAGGAATTTTACTATCTTCTATCAACGGAAACTTGTCCAGAGGAGGAACTGCAAAATGATATCTTTCAAACGAACAGTACCTATCGTCTATCTGAAAAATATCTTTCAAACAAAGCAAGCCTAATTGAATATGCTTCACTTCCAGAACAGCTTAAAGCTAAATATATGCCTGAAATTTCAGGATTTAACCGGAGAAATTACTAAATTGCAAAACTTACTCAGAAATTACAAAGGGTAGCATCACATGAATCGACTACTAGTATGCTTAGATAAATATCATATGGGTCTAAAATGCGCAAGATACCTATTCACGAGAGCTACCACTAAATTCCTAGACACAGTAGGAGGGAAATAAATTGTTCCAGATGTCAGCCAGCCCCTCCCAAACCATGGCGCACAGACAGAACAATGGTGGGTGGAAGAATTCAGAGGGAAGAATCGGCAAATAGAAACTCCAAGAATACAACAGAGTTATCCACCAAATTGAATTAGAAACAGACTCTGGGGCAACTTGATCCACAGCTTAACTTTGACATTTGGAAATTCAGTTCAAAGATAGGTCATGAATACTTCTATATCATTATTTGATTCTGCAATGCAGCATTAGAGGGATGAACAGTTTCAGATTCATTGAAGGGCTCTTTAGACAACATTTCGGTTTGAGGTACTTTTGGGTGCATGAAGGGGAATAAAGTGGCTTACGGATATTGGGATGATGTAATTCCTAATTGGGATCACTTGGTGTGAGTTTTGGTTGGAGTCAGCAAGCATCAACCCCAATGAAGAGGACCTTATTCATACAAGTAAAATAACGCTTCCACCAAATTCAAGTTCTAGTCAAATAACCTTCGTTGTACCAATATATGGAGAAAATGTGCCTCTTCCAAGATATTTATTTCTATAGCAAAGAACGAAATCTTGTTTCTTGCCAATGAAAGAAAAATTACAGTTGAAGATGCTAAAAACAGGACGTCACATGATTACCAGGAAGGAAAGAACCGAGCAGAGCAAGATCCAGATTTCCATTTTCACATGCTATAGGATCATGGATGGTGATTAGTTTTGTTCCATCCGGAAAGGTCCCCTCTACCTAAAATAAATTATCACTGAATAGTCACCAGCTGCCTTGAACTGCAGACGAACAATGGCAAAGTCAATGAGCAAAAACAGAGAAAATGGGAAAAGTGTAGTACCTGAACAGTATCCAAGAGATGAGGAACAGTTGGAAGAACTTGTCTCCTGACAACAAAAAAGTTAATTGTAAGCTCATTGATCTCCATCAACCTCATGTAATCATTTAAACAATTACATTATTTGAGGCACTTCGCTCAACTCGTATCAACTTCACCTGGGCTCAATTTATATGCACTGTTTCTCATGATACTCTCTTTATTTATTGATTCAATCCCTCCACTTTCTAGGTGCATGAATTTATTACTTCCTGGTGCCAGGGAAATCATATGCTGTAACCAAAAATATACACCCCAAACAAGCCTTTGATGCAAGTTGTCTCACTTAACAATCTGAATGGCGATGCATAAGATATTGCTATGCCCAAATTATTCTATTTCCTGCCAACAGCATTCCTGGGTCAATTCACACTGTTTACTTTCTTACGAGGCCGTGTGGAATTTTAAGTGTTTATCTAGCCTGGTGACATCTCTAGAAAATAGAGAAAGCAATGCAAATGCCCTGTTTGCAAACAATAATCCAATTTATTATCAGACCTTTTTACATATCAAGGGTAGCATTGATCTCATTAATATAAGTCAGTAGACCATATGGCATCTGCCGTTCATGTACAGTGTACCTTCCCAGTAATTGTCTCCCTACGTCCATCAGCTCGGCCACACTCTTATCTCCATCACGGACAAATTCTAATACCTTGTCATTGTGAAAAATGAAATACATCAAAACGAATCTGGCTGCATAAGACATGATTGCAGATAAGCTTCTATAAGTACAAAAAACAAACGCACACCCTAACCACTACCCCTCAAAATAATATTACAAGTTTCATGTAGTATCATGCATGTAGGATATTTAAACGAATCATATAGTCCCCACACTAGATGAATTCTTGTATCAGTCTGCTCTATTTGGGTCCATTTCATTAATATAAAACAACCCAAAGAATAATTTGAAAGAGCAAAAGTAACCTTTCTTTTTCACCAGCAACTATAGCTGAATCCCAAAGTAGTTTGCTCTATTCAGCTCTGTTTCATTAGAACAACAAAACAACCCAAGTGAAATAGCAAAACTAACCTTTTTTGTCCATCAACTATAGCTCAATCCCTAAGTGATTTTTTATTTAAATACATAAAATCTCATGCTTTATAAGAGGTTGGGGTTCGGCATATGAATTCTCTATCATTCTGTTCAATTCAGGTCCTTTTAGTGCAATACAAAACAACCCAAGTTTCCATTTAAAATAGCAAATGACAGTTTTTCACCAAAAGTAAAACTGTTGACTCAACAGGTAGAATTAACACTAGCAATATTACAAGGTGGTGTTTATTCAACTCTTTTGGCTGATTAAAACAAGCAGGAAATAAAAAATGGGACTTGGATTATATACATACATAAAAGATACCTGAGTTGCAATAAGAGCAACGGCTTCAGTATAATTAAGAGGTAGGGCACGGGCAAGACTCTTTTGAGCCAGAAATCCAGCGTTATGGAGCATCAATTTCTCTATTTCTCTTGGTACCAACTTCATTTTTTTCTTTTTCAGTCTAAATTCACTAACAGGACAGAGTAGAAGAATCTAAATACATAAGTTAACCACTCGCTATTAATTATAGAAAATCCAAGGAAATTTGAAGGGGAAATAACTGTAGCAGTGAATAAAGCCGGAGCTTGACGGATAAGTTGACTTATGGAAACGTTAAACTCTCCAAAGGCCGTGGACATATATTAGAATGGGAAGTTGGCGTAATTTAGCCGAGCAACAATATAACGATAATAATAAAAACAATGCAATAGTGTGATTCGGTCAATGTGACCTTCGTTCACAAATTGGAGAAGTGCAATTTTACTATATCAATAAGAGTATAAAAAAGAGTACAAATTAGAGCAAATACTCTAATTAATTCCAAATACCCTAAGGTAATAAGCTCACAAGATCACTCCAAAGAAAGGGTTCACACACATGTGCTTGTCAACACTTAACTCTCATACAAAACACTCTTAATAAAGGAGGAAAGGAAGAAACAAGAAATGAAAACTCAAGTCTTGTTGGTGTGTATAAAATGAACTAATGGCTTTCCCTTTTACAGGCAAAAAAGTCTTGGCCTCTTAGATGTAAAAGAAGGGATACAACTTGTGCAAATGATATCCACCACACAATGCAATATTTTTGGGTCCCAAAAAATATTGCTAACAAAGTCTACACTTTGCAAAGATGCTTATGCTTATGTGAGATGGACTCCATTAGCCAAAATATTGGCCATAATTACAAATCTCCACCTTAGCCTAATTTTGGCTGATATAGTAAGTTTGCTCCACCTTCTCCGCAAAAACCCCAATGGACATATGTCAAAGTTTATTGCCATCAAAATCAGACAAGTTGTCTGATGCCGAAACTGTAGTAGGGCCTATAACAATGGATCCCAATAAAGTATACAACGAACCAGATCTGTGTGCTTTCATGATCACAAGAACACCTTGAAAAAATTTTAGAACTCCACCTTCACTAGTGAATTTGCACCCAAGGGATTCTAAAGTGCCCAAAGAGATGAGATTTTTCTTCAACTGAGAAACATATCTAACATCGGTGAGAGTTCTCACCACACTATCGTGCATTCTGATCTGAATTGTACCTTTGCCAATAACGTTACAAGTAACATTGTTACTCAGTTGGACAACTCCACCTGCAACTGAATCATATGTAGAAAACAAGTCCCTGCTAGGACACATATGATATGAACAACAGGAATCTAAAATCCACTCATTGTCTAATATGAAACTAGTTTCAGTTGCTAAAAATATAGTTTCTTCAATCTCATCAGTTGCTACACTAGCTTCGACGGTGTCAGTATTTTCGTGCTCATTTTTTTTTCTTTATGTTTTTCTTTATTTTTCAGTTTATAGCATTCAGAGATAATGTGACATTTCTTATGACAATAGAGACACTCTAAATTATTGTATCTGGATATGGAGTCAGATTTGCCCCTAACAAACAAGCCAACTTCCGCTTGAGTTCCACTAGCTTCCCTAGTAATATCACTATCTATCTGTTTTTTTGATTTTAAGATAGATTTAATATCCTTATAAGAGATATTATTCTTTGTATAAAGCATAGTATCTCTTATATGCTTAAAAGATGGGGGTAGAGAATAAAGCAGTAACACGACTTGATCCTCATCTTTAATTTCAGCATCTATATTACTCAAATCCATAAGAATGGAATCAAATGTGTCAAGATGAGAGAGAATAGAGGTACCTTCACCCATACGAATTGTATAAAGCTTCTGCTTCAGGTAAAGTCTATTTTTCACCGTCCTCTTCGTATATAAAGTTTTTAATTTTTCCCACATGCCTTTGGTTGTGGTTTCTACAGAAACTTCACGTAAAACCTCATTTGAGATATTTAAAATGATACATGTTTTTGCCCTTTTGTCTATGACGGCAAACTCCGCATACGTCATTTTATCCGGCTTCTTCTCATTTCCTTGCAACGCCAAGTCTAAGCCATCCTGAATTAGGATAACTTCTATCTTTAATTGCCACATTCCGAAATTTGTACTTCGCTCAAATTTCTCAACATAGGTCTTTGTTAGAGTCATTTTGGCTATTGAAACTAACTCGGTTAGATCCGGCTCTGATACCAATTTGTTAGGATCGGAAACTCGGATAGTGCGAAATTTATCCAAACAACGGTATAATGACAATAACAAAGACAATGAAAGTTGATAACAACGACAATTAAAGAAGATAAAAAAGATACAAATTTAACGTGTTCCAGTCAGTGTGACCTACGTCCACAAGTGCAGATGAGCAATTTCACTATTTCAATAAGAGTATAAAAGAGAGTACAAAATTAGAGCAAATACTCTAATTAATCCCAAATACCCTAAGGGAATAACCTCACAAGATCACTCCAAAGAAAGGGTTCATACAAGTGCTTCCCAACACTTAACTCTCATACAAAACACTCTTAATAAAAGAGGAAAGAAAGAAACAAGAAATGAAGACTCAAGCCTTGTTGGTGTGTATAAAATAAACTAATGACCTTCCCTTTTATAGGCAAAAAAGTTTTGGTCTCTTAGGTGTAAAAGAAGGGATACAACTTGTGCAAATGATGTCCACCACATAATGCAATATTTTTGGGTCCCGAAGAATATTGCCAACAAAGTCTACACTTTACAAAAATACTTATGCTTATGTGAGATGGACTCCATTAGCCCAAATATTGGCCATAATTACACATGAAAAGATTAAATTCTCGCTTTTATCTGGCTGTGTTATTAACCAAGTCTTGAAATGGGTTCACTTAGGTGGCGCTCGGCGGTAGATTTCTAAATTTGTTTTAAAAAAAATTATTTGAGTTAAGTTTGGTTTGAAGAAGAAAATATGTTTGGACAAAATTTGTCAAAATATATTTTATTTATTTTTGAAAAAACATGAAATGTGACTTAAATTTTAGAAACTATCAAAAATACCCATCAACTCTGAAGAAAATTCATACAAAACAAGCAAACAAATCTGAAGAAAATTCATACAAAACAAGCGAAACAAATATGATTAAAATTTATACAAACATTAGCAGATTTTAGCAAATTATGTTCAAATTTTATCTTTGCGGTGGAATGCCACAGGATTGGCACAAATTTGGGGAAGGTTTTCTTCTTTTTATAGAGAAGGGCAAAGCCGCGTGAGTTTAATGAGGGAAAAGTGGGTAGATATATATTAGTTGGGTCATAATAATAGAAAGTGTGCGTTTTTTATAAAATATAAAAGTTTAGGGCAATTTTTGAAAAATTTTTAAAACCCAAACAGTAATATTTTGGGCCAAAAAGGATTTGAAAATTTGCCAAAATATGGATAAAATCTATAAACAAATAGGTATTTGTCAAGAAAAAATTGAAAATAATTTGACAAAATCTATGGTCAAACAGGGCTTAATATGTCGAAATTCTACCCAAAGAAAATTATCCCTTCATTCAAGATCATAAAGCTTCATTCGAGGTCAAGTGGAAAAAAAAAACCTTAAATGCGAAATAACATTAAATCAATAATTTAATAAAGCATAAAATTGTTCAATTTTCAACAATATATGAAACAAGTTTGATCTTTCAAAAAATAAAATCATGTGATAACCTAGAAAAAATTATATTCTGCCCACAATAACAGGGCCCAATGAATTGTACACGGCAGAAAAGTCGATTTATCATATTTTAGTTCCCTTGCTAAGTCCTTTAGTATGTTTTTATGTCTTAAATAAATACGCTTTGATTTGTGGTTTTATTTTGATCAATAGTTAATTGCATCGCATTGGTTCCTATTAGATGATGATTGATGAGCAACTTCAAGAAGGGCGGGCCTCCATCCTAATGTTCCACTCTATTTAATACTGATTTTACTTTAGCTAAAAAATAATTTGTCCAAGTTTTATAAAAGAGAAAAAGTAATTCTAATAAAAACTATAGAGATCACAATACGTATTGTTGTTAAAAATAAAAATGTTATTTTAAAAATTATAGTAATAAACAAACTATTTGACTAACACATTGTAATAGCATTGAACGTTTTATGGCAAAAAAAAGTAACTTTATTAGGAGTACCATTGAACTCTTTTTGTAGAAATACATAAAGGACCATACAAGCATTCTGTTTTGTTTTTTTCTCAAGGGATTTAATATAGTAGGAAGATCAGAGTTGCTCAAGTTGTTGTAGGTTGAAATAACTGTATTGGTGGAAAAAGACATAGACACGTTGACTATCAACAAGCTGACGGGGCATAGTACGTGGAACATCGATGTAAGGACAAGTGGTGTTCTTAATTAAACGAGTTAAAGAATGCGAAAAAGGTATGGGAGAAACACCCACGGTGTTACACTGAAGAAAAAATGGGACCTGACAGCTGTAAAAGGAGAAACATGAACAAAATAATAAAGGTTGTGAAGAAGGGAAGATACATGAACTTGTCATAAATAAGGAAGGGAAATCGGTGCAGTTACAAGGAATCTTTAATCATAAATGGTTCCATTACGATTGTACATGGTAACGGGCAATCAAGGTAATTAATACCATTAGTGAGCCCAAATTAAGTAAGGGAACCGTTATAATTGTATGCTCATATATAAGGACTGAAATCTCATTTGTAATGGCAAGAAATAATTATCATTGAAATGTATACAGTTATTCTTTGCTTTACTCTCAAAGTTCTAAGTCGTAATTTTGGGAGTGATTATCAGTTCATTTCATATTTTCTGTGTCAATTATTTCCATTTCTTGATCTATTCTTTCAAATTGTTGGGAAAGTGAAGTAAATCTTGGTTATCAGTAACCCGATTTCTTCTAGATATTGACTTTGACCGAGAAATCTATTTTTGGGTTAAACAATCACTTGGTTGTGGAACTTGTATGTTGGAAAACTAATTCAAAGTTGTAGTAGGAACCTTAGTTATTTAGAATTTGATTTATTTATTTCATGTCTAAATAAGATTTGTAGTTAGAATTAATATAGGAATAGGCTTTCATGTTTCTAGTTGAAATAAGTTTCGTACTATTATAAATAGGAGTATTAGTAACTTATTTTATGTGTGGAGATTTGTGATAGCTGTAAAGAGTTTTTAGAGATTAATAATAAAATATTTTTCTTCATATTGGTATCAGAGCTTCTACGATCTTGGGAGAGAATCAAATAGCTTTCGTTGCCGGCAGG